TCTCTCTCTCTCTCTCTCTCTCTCTCTCTCTCGCTCGCTCGCTCGCTCGCTCGCTCGCGGATTCGCGCGTGGACGGCGGACGAATGCGTGGGAGTGTCTCTCTGGCTGCATCTTGCTCGACTAGGTTCTCTTCTTGTAATTACTACCATATTCGTTGTGCTTTGTGCTCGGGGGCGGCACAGTTCGGATGCATGCATCTCCTTCGCAGTGAGCTACGTGTGCATAATTTCCCGTATCTGAGCTTATCATCCGTTTTCCAAGGAAGTTCAAAAAGTTATGAATTTGTTTTGGGAAAAAAAAAAAAAAAGTTAAAAAGAATGGTAAACACGACGAACACTGGGTTTGGAGGACGAAGATGAGCGGCACAAACGCAGACTGTGCAGGAGAATAAAGGTTCTCTCTACTGAACGAACTCAGGGCATACTCACACTAGGACTTTTTCTACTGAGCTCTGGACGTCATTGTGGTCAGATGCGTCGGGCTCCTGCAGTCAGATACATTCTAATCTAAAAAGTCCTACTGTGAGTGTGCCCTCAGACTCCGCATGAGAACAGAGCTTCCAAGCATATAAACACAGACTGCGGATGAGAACAGAGGTTCCAGATTCAAACTACTCTGATAAAGTGTGCCTACCTTKCTCGGCCTTGTGGATAAAAAAGAAAGACCACGTGATAGTATCTGTCCTCATCACTTCAGTATCTGATCCGTGGTCCATCGGGGAAAAAGAAAAAGCCAAGATTGCCTACGACAGAAGCACATCCGCAATCCTGTCRGGACCAACCACCGAAAATATCCAAACGACGGGCTGGCCTAGCTCCGGCCATACTCACACCAGAACCTTTTTAGCTTTGGACGTGATTGTGGTAGGATGCATCCAACCAGGGCCGTAATTACTGTCAGATCCCTCAACTGTTGAAATACAGACCTGAGGGCACCTGAGGGCATACTCACACTAGCACGTACTTCTGCAAATTTTGCCTATGTGAATTTCCGTTTATATGGCACCTGCGGGTCACACTGCTCACCCGTTTGTTGCCCAAAGCAGAAAGGACAAGGTCGGGACCTGGCCTTGAGATGCGAAAATACGTTGTGTGCAGTCAGACAGAGCAAGGCTCTTTAAATTATCTTTTTTTTGCTTACAGAAAGCAGTAGAGGAAAAAGAAACAGAAGGAATTCAGCCATTTATTTAAACTTTCTCGGAATTTAATTTTAAGGAACCTACAGTTGGTTTAATATTTCCGACAATAGAATTAAGGAAATGGAAGAATGATGAAAAACGATGAAAGGGACGGGAACCCATGATTATTTGGAGATTGGCCTAATTTCGCCTCGATTACCCGCCATCAGCCTTGACCCCGGATTGAACATTTTCCCCAGATTTTAACAGTTTTTAATACTGCCGATGGTCGAGGTTCCCTGCGTCGCTTTCGCTGGTTTGCTTGATTACTAACACTACCGCAGTTGGGATGTTCTGAGAGCGGGAGACGCATGGACAGGTGCTAGCTTGGGTCACTATGATGTTTGGTTCGGTGCGGGTACGAGGGATGTTACGAAGTGGCTACGTCCTACGGTGTCTGACGTGCKTCAGGTACRGTATGGGCCCGATGACACCTGTTTCACTACGGTGACTTATTTTCAGGTTTGGGATAGCTGGGGTGATTTATTCTCAGGACCGGAGCCACTACGACAGTTATTCCAGGTTTGGAACCTTGACGGCAGTTTGTTTTTTGGTCCCGAAATGTTGCGGCGATCTATATCAGGTTCGGGACCTCTGTGGTGATTTATTCTGAGGTCCGGGACCACTGTGACGATCTATTTCAAGTTCGGAACCTCTGCGGTGATTTATCTTCAGGCCTCCAGCCACTGTAGCGGTATATTTCTGGTTCGGTATGGGGTCCGCATCAGTATGTTTGAGGCATGAGGCCACTACGGCGTCTCGTTTTCAGGGTCAGAACCCTCGTAGTGATTTTTTTTCAGGTTTGGGACCACCGCGGTAGCTCAGTTCGGGCTCGGAACTGACACCGTTACAGGAATTGTTTCAGGCTCGGTGTGGGTTCGGCATCAACTTATTTCAGGTCTTGCGTTGGTTAAGGCTCCCGCGGAGCCCGCGGAGATTAACTCTCAGGTCCGGAACTGCTACAGCATTTTACGACAGGTCCAGAACTATAGCAGCGGGTCGACTCGGGTTCAGATCTGGGACGACACTGGCACGGTGCGGATGGTTGCAATTCTGAACTTCATAATTAGCGCCGGCGCGGCGGCCCAAGACTGGTACGACTGCAGATTCGTCACTCCTGGCGCTGGTGTGGTATAACCTCATGGCCGATACTGATACGATGCTCCTATGGCAAGTCTTGGTGTGTAACACTGATCTGGTCCAAATCGGCTACGTCGCGGTAATAGGCCTAGTTCATGATCACTCCGGTCCTATATTCTTACATCGGCATAAACCTGCCGCAGCGGCTCTCTGTCGACAGTGGGGACTCAAAGCGAACGCAACATGCTATTCTGATACCGAAACAGAGAGTGGTAAGGGAGGACCAGTTGGGACTGTTGGGGCATACTGAGTTATTACCTCTAGTCTGCCAAGGCCTAGGGGCTGGGATTGGGCCGAGGTCCACGCTCGGGTGGACTGTGGATCCATATAGCGAAGACGTTCGGAAGAGAAAGGGAGAAGGGTGAGCAAGGTGTACCCGCGACACGAAGCTCGGAGTGGGGGCATCGGCGCTCAGGCGGTTGCACCGAGGGCAAGGAGAAAGCACGGGGCAGAACCCACAGAGCGCAAGCAATTACTCTGCGTGTGGGAGGAGAAAGGCAAAGAGACTGGGCGAGAAGGTGGGGAGTGCCTGGCGTACGGGGCACTCAGCATAGCGCGTATAAGATCGCGAGGGCGCTGGACTTACACATACTGTCTCGCTACGCAGTTCTACGCGAGTAACCACGATGACGGCGCATTGTGTAGTGCCCACACCTAAATGGCTAACTTTGAGCCAAAGGGTCCCCTTTCGACGCTCAGGCGTTGGCTGAAGCGCGAGCCAATGAGGGTAACCCTTTAGCGCGCGCAAAACCGGCCTGAGGGTCTTTCCGACTTCTGCACCCTGAGGTGTCCCAACGGGTGCGGGGCAAGACGACCCCTAGGGCAGGAGGGACTTAGGAGCGGTGGTGAGTTGTCTGGCGCATCACAGCAACACGCTGACCCTTYTGCTCAWAACTTTATCGTTCCACCAAGATRAATCGCAACAAGGAGAAGAAAACAAGAATTGGCGAGGGATATCCCCCACCCCCTTCTATTCACCCCAACCTTCAACTGACCCTCAGTACGAGGGCACTTCAGGCCACGCTAGCTCCACACGTAGGTACACATGCACTSRCACATATTTATATATATATATGCGSAAGGGGAATAATTATGTAACGATCACTTYTCACAGTCATAGTGCGTCTCCTCCTAGCCATACATATATATGCGACCGCAAGGCAGCCCAACCAAAACCCCAAGTCTTTGAACATATTTACAATCATATCAAAAGTCAGACAAGAGTCCACGCACTACGCGGRGTCAACTCCAACCAGTTCCTATACTCATACCCCTCGCTTKAGCCATGCAAACCCCAACCTCCAGCTAACCAACCTCAATTAAATACTTAGTACCTTTGTTAAATGACCATTCAATAAAAGTCCGGGTGAAACCCTTAACTAACAAAAAGATCACCAGGCCTAAAGCCTTTTAGGTTGAGTACGGGGGGCGAGTAGGAATTGATTCGTGAACCGACGAATCGGCAACCGACCTGTTATCAGTGATAACAAATGATGATCCTTGTAGGATCAAGTTGAACTAGCCCATGTCCTAAATCGAATGTCCAAGAAAGGCCTGTATAATAAAACAGGCCAATGCCAAAGCTAAATCATTAGCAAATGGGGGATGACCCTTCATAGCGCATTCTCACCCAAGTCACCTACCAATTAAATCAGAGTCTACCCCTAAGCTAGTGCCCAAGCAAAGGTAGACTAACGGCAGGATATCCCCCATTTAGGGTGGATCACAAAAATCGTCATCTGTCAGAATATAATCTAACTCCTCTAAATCAAGAAAATTTCGGCAGCGCTTCCCGTAGGAAAAGTGTCTTTTCATAATTTATATCAGCCCGAATATGAGAGCAGAAATAGTCTTTGACTTTCCAAAGTCCAATTTTGTCTAACTGCCTGAATTAGCAAAAAACTGGGCAGCACTCCCTTTAGAAAAGGAGACTTCCCATATKTTTACTAAGCCATACATGAACTTTAGACAGGTTGAACCTTGAAAAGTCAGGAATTGACTAACTCCCCRGATTTGAAGAAATTTCGGAAGCGCTTCCCGTAGAGAAAGTGGCTTACGAAAATTTATAGAAAGCCAAGTATAACAAAAGATCCCAGAAAATGCGAGGAATTGACTTAGCTCCTATCGCTCTAGCACGAGGCGAGCCTCTAAAGCAACTACCTGTCAACCTAACACTCAAACCAAGTAGTAGTCTCACTCAGCCTCATGYAGRCCAAACCAYAAAGGTAASTACTCTCGCCACCCCAAATCAATCTTTGCAAACAATAATTCGTAACTTCTCAATGCTTTATCCCCTTATACCCATCTTACATAGGGCATAAAGTCAAGTCGTCCAATCTTATGGAACTTGCCTGACTCAGCCATTGA